GTTTCCTATTTGCTATAAATCACTTGTTAATATCGGGAAAATGGGTCAAATTCAGAGGTATCCAGAAAAGTCTGGATTCAAACTTGCCGCTGCTTGGTGCTGTGTCTTGACGTCACGTGTGGTTCCGCGAATCCTGGTGAGTTCAGCCCGTCCCAGCATCACACAGTGTAGCATTGCTGGTATAGCCGCATGTCAACTTTGTGTATCAGTGTTTATCTCCGAGTTTGTCTTGTTTTTTCCCGATTTCCCGAGTTTAGGATCATGGTGAAGAGGTGTGTCGTTGGCGGGTGTAGCAACACCAATCGGGATGGTTTTACCGTTCATTTGTTCCCGAAAGAGAAGGCCGGTGGTGCACATTCGCGTTTTGCTGGCTCGAACCTATACGGTTCTAGGCCTCTTATTTCTGGTGTAAAAGGCGGCAGAGATCGTTCAGATTCATCGTCACTGCTCGCATCGTCCACACCAAATAATTGTTCTGTCAAATTGTGCCAAATACCAGCGCTATTAGCTTTTTCTGATGCGTAAACATCAACAATATTTGACGCCATTTTTCGTTGTGAACTCTCGCTGGCTGCGCGCATTGGCTGTCGATCCGGACGGCAGCAGGGATCCAGACAGCGGCAGCCGGGAACCACACGTGACGTCACGAAATGGCCTGCTTCCAGAAGCAAAGTTTTTTTTATTGGACCTAATATTTTTCCTTTTTTTACATATTATTCAGTATGAAATAAAGAAACATACATTGACTATCTGTTGCATACACCCCCCAGAAATCAACTGCCAAAAACTGTTTTTAATGTAAGATAAGGACTTTAAGTTGTGAGAACGTTCCCCGCTAGCTGGGCAGGTACTTTCCTGGGAGAAAAAGGTTCCCATTTCTGATTGGCTGGGCGAATTGCAAACCAGGCCCTATATAACTCGGAAAACTTTTGTGAAGCCACCATTTTATTAGCTGGCATTAGCATTATTAGCATTAGCCCAGCGCACCAACGAAGAGAGACTAACTTATGGCAACACAAAATAAAACATGGGAGCGGTGGAGTGATGAGGTGTCGGCGTTCTGGCGATTTAGTACAACTCCGGGGACTTCCGGCCGGGGACTTCGGGTGGCAGTATACGCCGTGAAGTTGTTTACGGCCTGCCAGTCAACCCAAAGCAGAAGAAGAAGTGACGTGAGCTGCTCCCTCAGGTACTTATTCCGGTGTGAACGCGATTTACTAGATAGTTCCAGGAAATAAAAGTTCCGGGGAAAAGTTCCGGGAACTATTCCTGGGACAAGTACTTGGTGTGAAAGCCCCTAAATTCTTGCCTCAGACAATAACACCTCACCTCTGAAAGCATATCTCACTGCTCCATAGTTTGCTCAGGTTCTCCCTTTCTATTATCATGAACAATTTGCACTTACATAATGTAGCTACTTTCACTACCTCACTGGATATACAGTATTTCACTTTCAATTAAACTTTAAAAGCTGTGCACAATGCTTTAATGAACATAGTGCAATATGTTTATATGTTTCTGTCCCTTTAATAGCTATTAGAGAATGTTCTAATTTATTCTGTATATTTTATAATGTGTATTCTTATACACTCTTCTATGTGTTTTCTACTTTGACCATGCATATATTTGTTTTATTTTTATTTGAAGTTTATTCTATTTTTTAAGAAATGTTGTAATTCTTGCACAATGATATCCAACATGACAAAATAATTTCCCAAGTATATCTATCCATCTATCTATCCATCTATCCATCTATCTATCTATCTATCTATCTATCTATCTATCTATCTATCTATCTATCTATCTATCTATCTATCTATCTATCTATCTATCTATATCTATCTATCTATCTATCTATCTATCTATCTATCTATCTATCTATCTATCTATCTATCTATCTATCTATCTATCTATCTATCTATCTATCTGTCTCTGAAGAGACTCTGTATGATCTACCTGAGTGCTTTAATAACGATACATTTCCTGCTGGAGGGACTCCACCCTACCTGGCGTCTGAGTGTCTCTGTCCTCCTCCTGTCCTCTTTATCATCATCTGGCCGCTGGATTAACAATCAGCGCAAATTATAGCCACAATAAACTCCAAAACACAGGTTCAAGGGTCAGCTCTGCATGGAGAGAGGCTGTGTAAAGGATGGTTTAGAGACTGATACTGCTCTACTTATTATTATAAACTCACATGATCTGCCTGTCAAGTCTTATTGTCATAGCTTGTTATTTAAACGCTTGATGAAAACAAAGGATATTTCCTCATATCATTAATACATTGCATTACATTTAATTTAGCTGACGTGTTAATGCGAAGCGAATTACGCAATCCAATACCGTGAGGAAAGTTTTATTTGCAAATTAAATATTTCGATTATAACAGACACATTTCTTTGAATACAAAGGCCTACTTTGTTATAGCTTAGTGTTACTGTAAATATACAGTAGATGGTTTTAAAAATTAATCTACCTCATTTAATCGTGAAAGAAATAATACATAAGCACGGTCATAATACCACCGCTTTGAAAAGGTCATGATTGATACAAATACCGATTTTAAAAAGATTGCACATTGGTCACTCGCAAAATTATCTTGTACAATTTTTTTCTATTCTGTTTCTTTGTACACCATTTGTATTGTTTTATGTTCATTTCTTATATTGATGTTGCATTGTTGGAGGAGCCTGGGACAGCAGCAAGTCTTAATGTACAGTATGTAAGACTTTAATAATTCCTCCGCCGTGATCCACCTGGGCCAATTTGGAGCCATTAGGCCTGTAATGATTTACTTCCAAACCCGCCGACATCAAACGGCGGAGAACAATGTGAGTCTGCTCCCTGTCTCTGCCTGCGCGTCTTTAATTCTCCATAACAAAAGTACAAAGGCCGAGACTGAGACCAAAGGCTCCGTCCTTAAACACCTCTACACCTCCGCGGCCGCGGCGCCGCGCCGGCCCGACGCGCACACGGCTGCCCGTCTGGAGCGCCTGTGATAGGGCAGAGGAGAGCAGAGCCGCCCCGGGTACACAGACAGTGGTGAGGAGGAGGGGGGAGTCGGGTCAAACACACCTCATCTTCACCCTGACTGTCTGCGTGAAGTGTGAGAGTCAGGGAGAGAAGTTTGTCAGACTGCAGACAGCATCATCAGCGGAGAGACACACAGGAGGATTTATTTATCATTTCATTCTAACACCACAGATGCGTAAGTAGGCCTATGTCAAAAATGCTTGTTCATCACTGTCAAGTGCTTCCAAAGTGGAATAACTGAGATCACTTTATTTCTTATTTCAAAATAGAAAAGTATAGCCTCATTAAAATGTCCAAAACACAACTGTCCATATGATTAATCGAGTGTGTTGTTATTGGCAAGGCATGCAGCACGTTTAAAATATAGGATATGTCTACACAGGGCAGTTCAAAGTGCAACAACAATCAACAAACTTTAAAAGTGAAGAGATTACAAATACAACAAGCTCAAATTGAATTAGACAGTTATATGTCTATAAATTATTTCCGTGTTGTTTGGGGTCCAACAGAAATGTGTAAAATACTAAAGAAGTGCAACATCGACCCATAGTTAAAAAAAAAGTGTGTTCTTGTTTTAAAATACAAATAGTTTTAAAGAGTTTTAATACAATTATTTGGTATTTGAAAGGAGACCTGTGTAAAAAGTAGTGCACCAAACCAAAAGTTATTAAGCAGCATGGAATATATTGAATGTAACCAAGTTTACAGCTGAGTCTCTGACAACACAGAAGTAATGTGACATAGGCTACAGAAGCATCAAAATGCCATCAGTTCAGAATCAAGTTACAATTATCAATGTAGAGGCGTTTACTCAGAGGTGGGAGAAGTACTTCAATATACAGGACCAAATGTAAAAGGGATCAATAAGTGTAATGGCACATTTTTTGTATTAAAACGTTATGATTATTGATGCATGTCTCTATCAAAGGTGGAGCTAATTGTAATTACTATATACTGCTGATATCTTAGTATATGTTAATGTTTATTAGTTGATTTATGATGTAGCTAATAATCTGAGTCTGTAGTAACTAAAGCCGATAAAAGTTGGTCCCATAGTTTAGTGGAGTATACTCGAGTACTTCATTAAATTCCACCCTGCATTCTGCTTGATTCATGTTTTGACTTTGATTTGTATCTCTTGTCACGTGTGCTGCTGTAGTTTGTGTACAGGTTAAACCACAATATATAAAACACCGAATACGATTTGACACGATATGGTACAGTCATACCTACTTTATTGCCAGGTCAGGTTAATTTCTTTCTGGCACAGCAGCTGTTTTTGCAACAAAGACAAGACAAGAGAGACTTTGACTAGGGTTGCGAAAGTCAAAGTTGTTTCAAAATCGCAATTTGGACGAGTACAATATTCAAATTTCAGGAATAACGAAATTATTAAAAGCTAAATATATGTGAAAATACAATTTTGTATAAAGTATTGTGGAGCAGCAGAGATCTCCCAGCCTGCAAAAAGTCTTCCACAAATGTAAGAAAACGTATTTGTTTGCTACAGATCCTCTTAAGAAATCACACCAAGATCATTTCATATATTCTTCAATTAGGGAACTTTGATTCAAAAACGACCAATGCCTCCGATATCATGAATCATGATGGATAACCGAAAATAATCGCAACCATTTTTTGGGCGCACAGAGGACCTCTTCAGTCTAACCTTATTACATCGTGTGACCCTCCAATTTACAATCAACATTCAGTTTGACTTGTTTGGGGTCAGATGTGAGACTGAGTTGCCCACATTGATTCATTTATTATCCTCTATGCCTGCCTGTAGTGTCGGAGGACAGACAGACGCCGGTGGCTGCTGTGCACTATCCCGGCGCTGAGGCGCACACGGAGCCGTGCCCGCGCAGCGCGCTGCTGGACCCAAGCCGGCGGCACCGGACCGCGTTCACGCGCGAGCAGCTGTCCCGGCTGGAGCAGGAGTACAACACGGAGAGCTACGTCTCCAGACCCCGCCGCTGCGAGCTGGCCGCCGCCCTGAACCTGCCGGAGACCACCATCAAGGTGTGTGTGTGAGAGAGAGAGTGTGAGAGTGTGTGTGAGTGTGTGTGTGTGTGTGTGTGTGTGTGTGTGTGTGTGTGTGTGTGTGTGTGTGTGTGTGTGTGTGTGTGTGTGTGTTTGTTAACATGGCCAACAGTGGGGGGGAGATGGCCATTACATGGGGGGAAGCAGAAACCGAATCAGAATTCCTTTATGAGTCCCACAGCGGGTACATTTAACAAAATACTTAAAAACAAAAGACATCTTCAATTAAGTTACAGTGAATAGAGTAAATACAAATAATGAAAATGGTTATATAAACAAAAATATATGAAAATGTGTATATATAATATAATTGATCAATAAATAATTAATAAGGAAATTAATTTCCATCTTCAAAATTGTATTTAGTTTAAAAAAAATGTTGATTGCACAAGGTTTTTGTATTTTGTATGTTTACATTGTGCTAAATACTTACTTGAAAAGTAAGAAAAGTTTACTTAAAGTATAAAAAACTATTTTGTAAGTGATTTTTGATTATAAAATATTATAATATGTGTTTTTATCACTATGAATGTTTTTATGTGGTAATTCTTCAATGTAAAGCAACGTTTGGATACTTTGTTTACTATTACTATATCGTATATAATAAATGGGTTATGCATGTAGTAACATGTGTCAAATAAATGTAGTTAATATAAAAAGTACAATATCTCCATGTAGTGGAGTGAATAAATCAGTAACAAGCATCCACTTCCACGGGTTGTGATAAGGGTTCAGACAGGTATTTCATGATGCAGCAACATGAAGGTGTTTTCATCCGACCAGTAGTCTGATAGCTTCCACTACACAGAACATAGAGGCTTCATTTAATACTCTTGCATATTAGAGAGACTGGGTGGTCAATAGGGGCCCAGCAACTACTTTTTGCCCGAGGCCTCATGCATGATAGGATACTCTTGACTAGGGTAAGGGTTAGTCACTAAACTAAAATGAGCTACAATCCTTATTTGACTGTATTGGAGCCACACACAGAGAGACAGGGAGTTTGATTTGGGTTTTTCTGGACAGCTGTTTCCACTCATTGTGCTAAGCATTGAATTAGCATATTTTTCAAAGTGTGAAATCATTCCTTAGATGTCGTATATGGTTTGCCAAATCTGTATACAAAGAGAAAACAGCAGTTTGTGGTTTCATGGGCCGTTAAGTTTGTCCCCCTAACACAAATCATAATTTTAGCATTGCTGTTTCTGTACAGGACACAACATGCTAATCAGTTAGCTTCAAAGAGGTTGGACATTGTTTTTGAACGGATGTTGGATGGAGTCAAGCTAAATGTTTCCCATAGTCTTTAGCTAAGATCATTTCCAGTTCCGTATTGACAACACTGACATTGAGCTTTCAGAAAACTCCATCTCTGATTTTCAATTCTTACCTCATTTGTTCTGGCAAGAAACAGGAGGACAGCTTAAAAAATAAACGACAAACCCCCTTTGACATTTCCCATGAATCTATCTACTTTTCATTTTAGTCAGCGTGCTGGATTGAGCACTGACAGGTTTAGCAGTGTAACATTTGGCCCAGTGCAGCAGCTTTATTACGCAGTAAAGCCACCTTTCTACCAACTACTGGAGGGTCTTTTATGAAAGAGCAGGAATGTGAGGCGAGGCCTCGTAAACGCTGCCACCTGACGCTTTAGAAGCTCAGCCTTCTGAGGAGCTTCTATGAGCTGGTAAAAGATTTGAGGACAGACGGACACACAGAAGACTCCCAGCTTTAAAGCTTAAAAGAAAAGGGAGACATCTAGTTAAGTAGAGAAATTAAATGAAGCAAGGCGATGGACAGCATTGCAATTTAAAATATACATTTACATTGAATATAGTTATCATATGTATGTAGCTATAAGGTCAGTCCTAGAACTAAACCATCCCAACTTGTCTTTGTAAGTGAGAGTAATATAGAGAATATTAGATCAGGGGAAAAATACTATTAAATAATAATAATTAAAGTATATATATCTTAGAGAGTAACTCAGACCATGTGCATGCATAACATATGATCATGTCAATTATATGTTTGAACATTGTCCTTGTATTGTATTGCTGTCTTTTCTGTTTATATATGTCTTTGAATACAGTCAAATCTAAATGATAAAAAGCATAAAGTTTAAGACAAAATACCTGCAAAATAATGACATTCCCTTCGGCCTCAGCTGTACGTTATGTCTACTAATAATTAGCAGATGTTAGCATGCTTCTGAGATTGAATATCAACATTGGTCGTTTGAAGCTTTTTGGTCAAATAACCATTGCTTTCCATTTTAATTGTACAGTTAATTTTTCCCCCCAAAATATTGACTTGTTTGAACAAATCATCTTCTCACAACTTATCCTGACCTTCTTTTTTCTGCTCTTGTCCAAATCTTTTCACCTTCCTTGCCCTCCTTCCTTCTTTCCTTTCCTCTCTCAAGGTGTGGTTCCAGAACAGGCGGATGAAGGACAAAAGGCAGAGACACTCCTTGCCGTGGCCCCACCCTCTCGTGGACCCCCTGGGGGCGCTCCTGATGGGCCGCGCCTCCTCCGGCCTGCCGTACCCCTTCATCCCACAACACCTCCCACACCTCCCCCTCCCCAGTCACTACCCCCTGGCTCTCTCCTCACCCTCGGCCCACAGTCGCTACAATGTGCCCATGAGGACCCTGGACGCACTCCGCCTCTCCCAGTACCACCACAGAGCGGGGGGGCTGCCTCCAACACAAACAGTCCTCTACCCCTCCAGCAGCATTGTGCACCACCCTGTCTCCTGCCCCTGCCTGCTGTGCATGAACTGGGGACCAGAACACCTGCTGAAGGCCAGGGGGGAGGCGCTCGGACTGAACCGGCCCCGGAGTCCCAAGGTCCAGCCAGCAGGTCTGGAGCGGAGAGAAGAGGTGGTGTAAAAGAGGACAGAAACTACCTCACCATCCTAGGCGGTCAAACTGCTGTCGGATAAGGAAGTAGCAGCATCACTGTGTCTTCAATTAATGTCACGTGCACTGTCGAGCTCACTATGGTAGGACATTTTAGAGTTTCATTAACTAAGAACAGGAAAAACACAATTCCTAGGTCTTATCTATGCCAGTCACATGACACTGATAATAGCAGCAATTTGTTTATTGGATGACGGAAAACTGTTTCCACAATAGAGTGCTACAGGAATGAGTCCCAAAACCCGGTAATGGGTTAGCATTTTACCATTTCCGGTGCAGTTTTTTTAACTAGTTTTTTAACACCCTACTGGTGAATGTCCAGAGCCTATATGTGTATAGACACTTCCTCACTTGTCTTCTACTCTAAATTACACTACTAAACGTGGTCACGTCGAGCATTAGCCACCCTTAGCTTAGTGGTGATGATGTCAAACAATTGCGTAGTTTGTTTATAGCCTAATGTTAGCTTTTTAGATTTACATTTACGCTTCCAAAATAATAAAAGTAATGTTAATATGTGGAGATTTTCCTGCTGAAAAAAATGTGTCAGTATCATAAATGTATGTTTGACAAAGATCTTCAATACAATGGAAAAATCCCATTGCTCTTTGTCAATGGAGCCCTTGTGATGCTCCGGGTTCGGCTTACAAAAATACGTCAACACTGCAACACTATTCATAGGTTTTATCTCAAACAAGGCCATTTACATGAGCATGGAGCCATATTTGTATTATGATTAGGATTATAATTCATGACCATTTTCAGCACAAAGGCAGCTTTTACCTCCAGACTGTGGGTAGGCCTATAGTCCTTGTTTATTCGCCTCAGAATCTACCAACTGTGCAAATGTTAGCAACTCAAACTTGTTGCTTGCATTCTTAAAAAATACAGCCATTATACTGCAAGAGCAATGTTTTCGTACCTAATATTTTTAAGTTGCATGTATGCAACATGGCGCAGCCTCTTTCCTATCTGTTGCAGCATATAAAAGCTTTGCACACTTCAATATTTAAAGAGTAACACTCAAAATGTTGTTGCTGACCTCTAGTTGTCTAACTGCTCAGCTTTCAGCAAACTTCTAACTGGTCTTAAATGACAGTAGGCTATACCTGCTGCAGTTTTTCTTCATTTTTTAAAAACGTTTAGAGCTTAGGAATACATTCATAAACTGTACATTTCACCAAGACTGACTTTAAAACACATACTTTGAAAAATAATTTGTTCTCAACTTTTTATATATATTTTCTCACCACTTGGAGACTATCAAGTGTAGAAGCTTGCTTTGCTCCAGTAAATGTGATAGTTTTCAGTTCATGCATACAGTTTTTTATTGAAAAAAGGGAGTAGATATAAGCGAGAAATTACAGTAGCTATGATCTGTCAAATGTTTGCAAATGTAGTTGTGTTGCCTTAAAGGAAAACTGTCTTCTGGCTCCATGCCTTTGATTCCATTGCCATACTAGCATCTGGTGGTCAGCTCTTGAGGATATCGTCTGTTACAGCATTTTTGCACTTTAACGTAAACATTTTCAGATGTTTCCTTTCGACAAAAGGCATTGTTGTTTTCTGAGGTCCTTTAATCATTATACCTAACCAGTGATGTTTTTCTTGAAGGGCAAACACAAAAAATGCCTAGCCACTGTAAGTGTGCATATCTGTGCACAATGTGGCCGTGGAGGGGAGCAAATAAAGAAGAAAGACATCTTGAAGTCAATGTCTGTAAACGTAAAATTGCACCATGTGAAGCCTTAATGTACATATAATGCTGTTGGAGTTGTTTTGATTGTTTGTCTGCTGTAACACTAATGACTACTGTAAACTGTGTTCGTTATTCTCCCGTCCAGGAGAGAAGCTTTAAAAGGAGACTAAATGGAGTCTCTGTGAAAGTTCAATTGGGTACTTTAATTAAAAAAGGCGCGGGTTGGTCACAAGCATGATATTGTTCAGTCAGACAAACAGCTGTGATCCGCTCCTCGTTAGGGAAGACAAGAGCCCCGATTTCTCGTCCGGTGCTGTTATATATCCTCTGCTGGCTCCTCCCCGCCAGCCGGCTCGCCTCGTCTCCAATGTCCGTTGTTGCATTTAAACAGAGGATTGGTTCTTTTCACATTCAACATATGCTTAACACGCCTTTTCTCCTCATATTCTCTTTCATCACTTTTCATTTAACACATTCTAAACGCCGTAATCAATACTCTAAAAAATACTTCTCGGCTCGTTTGGTTTCCGGTCATTCCGGATGTTGTCACATGCTACTCTCGTCTGTAAACAATAATGTATTCAAATAAACTGTACCTTCATTTAATATTCAGCATGGTAGTATCTCGACATCTATAGTTGTAGTGTTAAATCAGTAGGCTTCGGTTTTCACCACTCCATATCATTTCGCTACTAAATTCACCTCTTTAGGAAATCGTATATTAGCCACATGCTAAATGCTAACCGTAGATGAAGGATTTTCAGAATAAAAGCTTAACTGCTTGTGCACAAGAATTTCTGGTTTTTCAGTATAAAAGAGCATTAAAACTGACGGCATGTTTAAACTACATTTCCCCATTAAAACATTGATTTTAATTTCTAACACTACTGCTTTTATTTATTTGTACAACTGCAATGTTTTAAGTATCATTCACAATCCTGTTGAAATGTGTAACTGTAGCCTATGATACACTTATCCACTTTCTTTTTGAGCGTCCAGATGTTTAGTAACTCTTTCCTGATGGACCACAGTTTATCCACAAGTTTTGGTTAAAGTCTCTGCACAGCTAGTGTGAAGGAGTAAACCTGACAACAGCTTGGGAAACTGCACACAGTCAGGATGCACCTCTCTCTAAAACCACAAATTGACATTGTTACAATTCTGTTGATGTATATATTAAACAAACAAAAAGCAATTTATAATGAGTTGAGTTATTGAGATATAATTATTTATTTTCACTATCTCTGTAAAGTGACTGTGAGCACCTGTAAAAGCACTTACAAACTGGCTGTTAGCTGGCTGTGTTAGCTGGCTGTGTTAGCTGGCTAGCTAGCAACGTGTGCTTGCAGTACCAAATCTTTGCAGACTGCTTGATTAACCTTTTTAAATTAACCATTGCTCCTTTTCGAAAGCAGTATAGTGGTATGCTACTTTGTTTTAAAAAACATTTAGTAGGCTACTTTTATTTGTATGGTGCTGTGTTAGCCACAGAGCAAAGATGTTGGGACAAATTTATGCACACAAAATAGCAAATACAAGTGGCAGAACAGTTTTGTTGAAAGGACCCTCAAGAATTTTGTTTTCTAATCTATATATATGTGGAGTCTATTTCTATATAACATTACAAGACTGATTCTTATTATTACATTATATGCTTATTGTGCTCATGAGATTGCTATGACTATAGAATAAACAGACACCATCACTAATCCCAGGTTCTGATGGGTTAGATACCAACGAGGGGAATAGTCAGAAGAAAGTTTAGCTTGCAATATTGAAAGTAGCAAGGTCGGGTGCAGACACTGAGAGAACACAAAGAGGTAGTCAGAACAGCACATCGCACCGGCCTTCACTTTGTATGGGAGCCGCGCTCCCCCGCAAAGCTAGGAAGTACATTATGGTTTTCCACTATATCTGAAGAAACGTTAGAGAAAACTAATTAGTATGATGGTGCCAGAGTAGGGAGGGACTTCCACAGGCCGGCTGAATGCTGATTGGAGGATCGTGTTGCCAAGAGACTCTATCTGAGTCTGCGCACCAACCAAAGAGAACCAAGTCTAAACCGCGGTATCTCTTCAGCTAGTCTTGACCAATCAAAAATGTAAAAACGGTTTTAATTTTGCATTATTTTAACTTCCTTTATTACAGCAATTGATTGTGTTTGGGAACAGTATGCACAAAGCACTATCAACTATTTATTTAAGAATTAAGAGCAAGTTGCTTGTATTGATCGTTGTGTTTCTTGATGATCAGAAGATTGCAGTAAAAACCAACATACAATGAATTGGTGCGTCCCAGCACCAAGCGAAAATTATAACTAAAATCACATACAAAATAGGAGCGGCCATCAAAGGGTGTCTAGCTGTGGAGAACGAGAAATATTAAGTCACTTCTTCTTTTATACGACCTCACCTTTATTGCAAAGCCATCAGACTTAAACCTGAAATCAGAAAGACGTGGCAGTAGCCTCAGGTGTAGATCTCAATGCAGGAAGCCATACGGTGGTTACCGTTTGTGTTTACTTTGGGTGGGTCTCAGAGACAAGGGTTAGAAATGATTAATATGAAAACTGAAGGAGGCTAGTCTTTCTTTGGTCTTAGTTTAAAGGTAGCAACGTGTTGAGTTCACCTGTTTATACTCTTATTATTCTACTTCTGTTTTCTTGTGTCTGCTGTCATTTCAGACACTCCATCTGCCTGCCCTCAGTAGATCGACTCCACCCGCTCCTGTCACCTACATATCCCATAAATAGCTCCACTTCTACCAGTTTGCTACCTGATTGTCTGTGCATTGTGCCTTAAAGCCTTCCAGCATTTAAATCATAGCCTGCCATCTTCAAATGGTTGTGACAAAAGTCTGTATTTCCAATACTCTGATTTAGCCTGGCCCTCTAGTACTTTGTTTGCCTGCCTGATTTTTTTTATTCTTGTACTTCTGTAGACTTTGCTTTTTGCAGCTGTCTTTTCCATTGTTTTTTTTTTGCCCTTGAGCTGTGAGTAAAGTAGCAACTACACCACAAATTACAAACACACTTGATATATTTCCAACAGTATTTACTTACTGTATATTATGTATTATTTGTAGTATATCGTCCCTGAACTGGACAAAAAACAATTGAAAACAATTACCAGTCTGGCAATTGGCATTAAGCCTATACATAATAAGTTAAAATGTATGGCTATAGATATACATTGAAACATACCTCTAAATGTCACTTGTTATTGAATCTGCCATGTCAACCTTGTGTGTGTGTGTGTGTGTGTGTGTGTGTGTGTGAGAGAGAGAGAGAGAGAGAGAGAGAGAGAGAGAGAGAGAGAGAGAGAGAGAGAGAGAGA